TTCTCTGAGGCCGATATTTGGACGCTACAGTAATTGTTACTGTAGTAAAGTACAAGTGTAGCATGGAAATCCTGGATTAGTTTAACATTCAGCTGAAGTACAATGGTTACCTTCCACCACTGGCAGCAATAGAAACGCAGTTTTACACAGTATAAGAATACTTATACACATGTATGAGAATACTATTTAAACGCGCCAATACAAGTAAAAACCCTGCATTTAAAACGTTATGCAAGTAAAACTATGTAATGATAATTAGGACAATTAAAGTAAAACTAGGCTACTAAATGCCTCCGATGACTTGCATATTCCATCATTAGGTTGTTGGGACTGTATTTTACTGCTTCAGCTGATTTCGGCTGTAACTGAACCTTTTCATTACTGGTGCACCCACGGAGAACCACACGAGTCCAAACCTCAGGATACTTGGAAACACGAGTGCTTTGCATAGACAAAGAAAAAGTGAAGCAGCATTAAAAACAATAAGCTCGAACCTGGAACCTTCTGGATGACGGCGCCGTAACTAAAGAGTTGGTCGTTGATTTTCTGTCAGTGGACTAACTGGATACCGGCTGCTCTGATGGCTCCACTTCATCACTTGATGATGTTTTATAAGATCTCCCTATGCTTTGTGTGTAAATCTCCATTTGTAAACTGCAGCCGTCAGATAAATGCAGTAGTAACACTACAGACAGCTGTTCACTGGATTAGACTGATGATGATGAAGATTGATGAGGGCTCCTCCTACACACGCTACATCCCAAATATAAATAAGTGGGAGTAAAACTATGATAGAAGTCAGAGGTCAGAGCGCCGCCTGCCGCACACACGACGAGGAACCACGTTAGCAGCTGTGTAGTTCCTCCTGTCCGGCAGGGGGCGCCGTCCGCTGCAGTCCGCCGTTTCCGTTTCCTGTGCGTTGCACTTATCCAACATCCGCATCCCATGTGAGTGGATCAGCTCCAGAATAGCGATGGTTTCTGGTTTAAAGGAGAAAGTCGGGGAGGTTCTGTTGCCGGGAGATGAGTTCTGCTTTGAGGCCGAAGACACCATCTCTCTAACGGAGCAGGTTAAACCGGAGAAGGTGGTGTGTGGTCCGGGTCTACGGCGCAGCGGAGACCGGCTGCTGGTGTGTAAAAGTGGCGTCCTGCGACACAAGCAGCCCAACACGTTCTGGATCGATTCACAACAGAGGAGGGTGAGACTCCATGTTTAACTGGCAGCTTACTGTGAAATCTGCATTTTCACTATGCGGGGTTCACAGTTTACGGTGTGACCCGCATGTCGAGTTCATTACGGCCCGGCCGCGTTTACCGCTCAGAGACGACGATGTCATACGGCTCTTTGTGCCATTAATGTCGGACCACTGTTCCCCCCCTTTGGCCGCAGGGAGCAGCGGACATCTCTCTAAGTCGTCCTGCTAAAAAGTAGGATGACGTGGCGATAAAGTGCCGCCAAGTGAAACGATTACTAGGGTTGAGATGTGATTGTGATAACCGATGTACCTGAGTCAAATTCCTCGTGTGTCCCAACACACCTGGCCAATAAAGCTGATTCTGATTATTGGTTTGTGTAAAACTAGCAGCCTTTGGTACCATGGAAACAGCGGTGTCTCATCCGGTCCTGGGAAACGACTGTTCGTATTGAAGATAAATCTGTCAAAGCTTTTTTTCTCCAAACATGCCTTTGCTGATTGTGTCCAAAGAGTTCTATTTTAACTTCATCAGTCCACAGCACTTGTTTCCAAAACGCATCGGGCTTCTGTAGATGTCCTGTTGCATACTTCAGACGTTGGATTTTATGATGGGGACGCAGATAAGGTTTTCTTCTGCTGACTCTTCCATGAAGGCCTTGTCTGTGCAAGCATCGCTGCACAGTGGAACGGTGCACCACCACTCCTGAGTCTGCTAAATCTTCCTGCAGGTTTTTTGCAGTCAAATGGGGGTTTTGATTTGTCTTTCTGACCAGCATACGAGCAGTTCTGTCCGAGAGTTTTCTTGGTCTTCCAGATCTCATCTTGACCTCCACAGTTCCCCTGATCTGCCATCTCTTAATTACATTTCTTACTGTGGAAACTGCAAGCTGACAACGCTTTGCTATCTTCTTGTAGCCTTCTCCTGCATTGTGGGCATCAATAACTTTCATTTTCAGGGTCTTACACAGCTGCTTAGAGGAACCCATGGTTGCTGGGTGTCCACAAGTGTGTGCACAAGGTTTGAAGAGTCAAAGTATTTGTACAGCTTTGAAATTGGCATTTACCAATGACAGCTGTTGCTGTGCATCAGATCTAACGAGCTGATTAAGGTCTGATACCTTGTGAGAGACTTTGAGACTCTGGAACTCTTAGGGTGCCCAAACTTTTGCACCATGCCATAATCATGTTTTTATTTTTTATTTTTGTTCAATTTATGGCATAAGAAGTAACTATGCATCACTGTTTGCAGAAAATATTGTGCATTTTTTCCATTTCCAAGAGAAACTGTGTTAACATCTGTTCAAATAAAAAATCACCAAAATCTGTTATTTATCAAGGGGTGCCTAAACTTTTGCATAAGACTGTATAGACAAGGAAGTGGACATTTTAGAAAAGGTAGAATAAAAGAGGTGCTGAGCAGTGCATGCCGGGAACTGAGTCTGTCTCTGTCCGCAGTACGTCCCCGTTAAAGGAGAGAGTGTCGTTGGCATCGTGACCGCCAAGTCAGGGGACGTCTTCAAGGTGGACTTTGGAGGAAGTGAGCAGGCGTCTCTGTCCTACCTGGCGTTTGAGGGAGCTACCAAGAGGAACAGACCCAATGTCCAGGTGAGACAGTGAGGACAGGAAGGGGTCCAGGTGTGCATGTCTGAGGTATATTTTCAGTGTATGATAACCGTCTCAGAAAACTTCACGGTTTCACAGTATTACATAGTTGCTCTTATTACCAGCTACAACAGCTGCTCCATTTCGTAGTCACATTACATTCAGCTGGGCCTCCATTGTTGGGGTGTTACTGTGGGCTTCTAGGATGCTCTTGCACATTTCACTGTGAAGGGCTTCTGTTGGGCGTTTGTCCCATTTTTCTGTCTTGGTTTGCAAGTGGACCCCACACTTCACCACCGTATAGTAGGGTTGGTTCGATAACTTACAATGATTCTAATAGCTGATTCTGTTGTTGAGGATTTTTAATGGCACAGAAAACCCTACTCCCCTCGTCTCTGAGGTCGCAGACAGCCAGACGGAACTTTCATCAGGAGGTCATTTATAGTCCCTGATAAGTGCAGGTGTGTGCTTGTGTCATAATTTATTATTACCTGTTAACTTAGTTTTCACTGTTTTAACAATGGGTGAGCAGGAGGTGTTTATCCCCCTGGGTGGTGTTTCAGTCCTTCCACCACCAGTCAGACTGATGAAGCCTTTTGGATGAGAGATGAAACATCTTCTACATAAAACTACGTCCAGGTGCCTCCTCCTAAGTTTTATCAGCATTCAGACTTTAAAATGTGTGTCATCTTAAGCACTTGAGGACCAATACTTTAGCTTTTATACTCTTGTTTTATTGAACTTTTTGTCAACTTTCAGCTTCTTCATTGGTTTGAATGGTACAATGTTCAGTCCTTCAACCCTTTCTCAACATTCGTCTGTTTTCTTCTGTTACTGTTTAATTTTCATAAACAGTTTATACATGAAAGACAGACAAACTTGTCAGGATTCAAGAACCACAATTCTTATTGCGACAGGATGTACAGTTTTTGATTGAGCCTCCCCTGGTAGGCTAGTGTTTTAGGCGCAGCGCTCTCGCCGCAGCGTCCCGGGATGGAATCCAGGTTGCGTCAGCTCGCCGCTGCAGCCCAGGTTCAAGTCAGGGTTGCGTCAGGAAGGGCATCTGGCGTAAAACACGTGCCAAATGTCAAGATGCTGTGGTGACCCTTAACGGGAAAAAGCCAAAAGTGACATTCATTCATTCATGTACAGTTTTTGATTGAGGCGGCCAAAACCAAAGAGTGCCGCCTCAGTCTCTCGTTCTAAGAGAGTGCTGTTTGTAACTCGTGATAAATCCATTCTATGGAATAATCTGCACATATAGGGTATCAGCCTGTTTGTTGAAGCCTCCTACGGCCAATAGTGAAACCATTTTTTTGACAGGACTTCTAGTTTTTCGTCAGTAGGTGAAGGCAAAGTTTCCCTGGAGTTTGGCTGGAACTGGCTGTCGATCGTCCATTTGTCCTCTACACTCTATTTACTGACATGAAGACAGTATCTGTTAACCAGAGAGAAGGAAGGTAGATATACTGTGTGTGCAGGAGACCAGGTGGAAGGGTAGCAAAGCACATAGCATTGGAGGGGGATACAAACTGTTTTATTATGGTGTGGACAGGAAGAGAAATGGGGTAGGAGTGATCTGAAGGAGGAGCTGGTGAGGAATGTTTTAGAGGTGAAAAGAGTGTCAGACAGGGTGATGATCAGTTTGAAGTTGGAAATTGAAGGGGTACAGTAATGTTGAATGTAGTCAGTGGTTATGCTCCACAAGTAGGGTGTGAGTTAGAAGAGAAGGATAGATTCTGGAGTGAGTTAGATGAGGTGATGGAGAGTATTCTCAGAGGGGAGAAAGTGGTGATTGGGGCAGACTTCAACGGGCACGTTGGTGAGGGGAACAAAGGTGATGAGGAGGTGATGGGCAGGTTTGGTGTTAAGGGAAGGAACCTAGAAGGACAGATGGTGGTGGACTTTGCTAAGAGGATGGAAATGGCTGTGAGTTGTATGCCAGGTTAAACACGAGGGAAGGTGAGAAGGACTTGTACAGATTAGCGAGACAGAGAGATAGAGATGAGAAGGATGTTCAACAGATAAGGGTGATTAAAGACAGAGATGGAAAGGTGCTAACAAGTGAGGCGAGTGTGCAGAGAAGATGGAAGAGGTATTTTGAGAAACTGATGAATGAGGAAAACGAGAGGGAAAGAAGGGGGAAGAGGTGAATATTGTAGAGCAGGAAGTAGCAAAGATTAGAAAGGATGAGATGAGGAAGGCTCTGAGGAGAATGAAGAGTGGAAAGGCTGTTGGTCCAGATGACATACCTGTAGAGGTGTGGAAGTGTCTAG